AGCACAATCGTCCCCATCTTCAAACAGAAAGGGGACGCGAAGGTGCTCCAACTACCGCGGCATCAAGTTGACTCCCCATACCATGAAGCTGTGCGAGCGCCTGGTAAACACTAGGCTGAGGGAGCTTGTCCCTATCTCGCAGAAAAGTTCGGCTTCATGCCTGAAAGATCTACCATTGACGCCATCTTTATCGCCAGACAGCTGATGGAGAAGTACCGAGAGAAGCAGCGACATTGCTACCTAGCCTTCCTGGACCTTGAGAAGGCATTCGACCGCCTGCTCGGCCTGTACTCTGGAAAGCGCTCTGAGAACGTAACGTTCCGGAACACCTCATCTCCATAGTGAAGGACATGTACGATGGGGCTAAAGCAGCTGTACGCACCCCGCACGGCTTGACGAAAGAGATAAACATCACTGTTGGAGTACACCAAGGATCAGCCCTCATCCCGTTCCTCTTCCTCCTGACTCTAGATGTCATGGCAAAAGAACTCATGGAGGGACCACTGAAAACCATCCTCTACGCTGAATCGCCCTGACAGCGGAGAGCAGGGAGGAACTCCAGGACAAGCTGCAGCGGTGGCAGAATGCGCTCGCTGAGAATGGACTTCGGTTGAAGGTGAAGAAGACCAAGTTCCTGAGCTCTGAAGCGTGTACCGAACCCATCGTAGACCGTCACGGCGAGAGCATCGAAAGGGTCAAGAACTCCCAGTACTCGGGGAGCGACCTAGTTGCTGATGGCGGCGTGGACCAGGCAGTGAAGACCGAATCAACCGAGAACGCTCAAGGGCAAGGTGTACCGGGCGGTGGTAAGGCCTACAATGCTCTACGGCAGTGAATGGTGACATCTGCAAGAACCATGAAAGGCAGCTCCACTCAGCTGAAATGAGGATGCTGAGATGGGCCTGCGCCTGGACACGACACGACAGAGTCAGAAACGAGGACGTCAGGGCGATCACACAGAGGGCTCCTATCCAGCTGAAGGCACGAGAGCAGCGACTGCGATGGTATGGGCACGCGCTGAGAAGGCTTGAGGACCACCCAATAAGGAAGGCATTGGAATTCAAAGCAGAGAGCAGGCGACCACGAGGAGCCCCAAAGAAAAGATGGAGGGACGTCATCAAGAAGGACCTCACTGAAGTGACAGCCACGACAGAAGATGCGGTAAATCGGAACATGTGGCGACGTCTAACACGAACAGCGGACCTTGCGACGGCGCGGGACAACGCTAGGGAGAAGAAGAAGAAGACTTCCCAAGGGAGTCGTTTCCTCCCAAGGTGTCATTTGAAATTACCTGGTAGCAGAACAGAGAGCAAAGTGAGGTGATCTTTTCGGTTTCCCTGAAGATCTCCCAACAGCGAAGACTGGGACAGAGTTAAGAACGCTGTTTCTCCCTTGCTCTCTAAAAAAGATGAAAAGGAAAAAAAGGAATGGGAAAGCGAAAGGGAATAGAAAATTTGGACTATTATTCGGAGAGAACTCAGTCTCTATACAAAGTATTTTAGAACAAAGACAAGGTCAAAAACGATCCTTCTTCATTAGACTAAGCTGCTGCATGCGCTCTTCACGATGAGGCGATTTGCCAGCCTTCCATTCTATTCAACATTCTCCTTGGGGATGGGTCTATGAAAAGTATGTTAGATGAGGTAAACACGTGCTTCTTACAGTCCAATAATGGTTCTAAGATTTTCACTATTTGTGGTATTTATTTGTGGCGAGAAGAGAAGCGCAAGTTCCGCCAACAGCATGGTAAACATAGACTGAAAAATAGCGTTGGGAGTGAATAAAATGCCAAGGTCTGTTCAATAAAAAATGTTACAGGTGAAATCTTACTCAGGTGCCGAAATTTGTTGGCCGTCACAGTTGAAAATTGGAGCGAAAACAAAAAAAGGTTAGGGCAGTTGATTCTCTTCTTTGTATCGCCTTCCAAAGCATGATATAGCATCGTTGCGCGAAATTCTTCAGGTGAAAGCGAGCCGTATTTTTGAGGGAAGTTTTTCGGATTGCTGTTTTTCCTGTTTCACGCGCGCTAAATACCCCTCATCCCCTCATAGTCAACAAAATTTTACAAAGCCCTTAAGGTCGTGATGATAGGTGCTTTCCTCTATTTCACCGTTCGCGATCTGCGTTGCTGTACTCTGTGTTCCAGTAAGACTAAAGAAGAACTCTCAAAGTTTCTCGTTCAGATCCATTTGTGAAGGTTACTGGGACAGCTTATGAGATCGAGCAAGCAAAAAAATACATCAGTGCGGCACTACAAGTGAAAGTGGGTCCAATTTCTAGACGAGTGGACAATATATCAAAAAAGGTTTATTTCACAATGGCAGAGTGAATGTGGACAGTGAGTCTGAAGTAACAATTCGAACCTCACTATCCAATAAAAAGGTAGAAAGAGCGTTGGAAGACAGTGAGACAGGGCCACTCTTTTGCACCTGGTTTTGAATATGTGCGGCTTTTTTCTCTTTATCACATCACTCTCATAACTTTATGACCTATAAAAAGTTAGTCGAAATCCTTTGTAAGGCTATGTTGTTGGTTGTCTGGTTGCCCGTCGGTGTCAACTGGGCCGCCACATCTAAGTCATCATCCGGTGACTTGATTTGGGCGGCAAGGGACGCGACGCGGCTGCGGTGTGTTGCGAGCGCGGCGATCAGCTGCTTCCAGCCTATTTTACATTTTCTCCCTAGTTTACGCTGTTTTGGCTGCTCTTCTCACGATTATTCGTTTTGGAATAGAATGTTTTTGCGATTTTTCTCAGCTATTTGTTCGATTGTCTGCTTAACTGTTTGACTGTACGCAAAAACCAGAAGAATCTCAATGATGATTTGACTTGTGAAGACAAGGAACAACTAATCGTGAGAAAAGCAGTCAAAACGGCGTAAACTAGGGAGAAAGTGACTAAAATAGGCTGGAAGCGGGTGATCGCCGCGCTCGCAACACACAGCAGCCGCCTCTCGTCCCTTGCCGCAATAATCAAGTCACCGGATGACGACTGTAAATGAGCTCCTCTTGCTGGCACTTTTTTCTTGATGGCGTGCGTGTGCTTGCCTCTGCAATAGGCACGAGTGTTCTAATCTTCCCAGTGTACGAAATTTGTTCTTGAATAGGAGACATTAAAAATGTGAAGTCCAGATTGGTCATGTAGAATCTGTGAAGTCCAGGTTGGTCGTGCTCCTAATCCTTATGGAGGAGCATGTTCAAAAAGCATCCGTTAGGGGCACTCTCTGCAATCCTAAATCATGAGTGATGGAGATCGAATACGAATTCTAAGGTTTATTGGAAGAAACAGCTGGAAATATCTCTGGTGAGACATACATTAAATCCGACCTAATGCAAGCAGAAGGCATGTCGTGTCTGGCTGAGCGTAGCGGGGAAAGCGTACGAGAGGGAAGCCGCTGGAGACGAGGGTATGGTGCAGCGCTAACAAGGAAAGTCGCCAGGTCGTGGTGAGCTTTTTAGAAACATTCTGTTGCATTATGATAGCTGCTGATTGACGCCGCAGTACGCGTTCCGAATTTTATCACAAGAGTACTGAGTTGCGGGCAAAGTCGTCTCCAGGCATAAGCCGCTAATCTGAAGGGTAAAAGCCTTCAGATTCACGCCGGCCCTGGTGGCGTAACGCTTAGTGCACTCGCCTTCTTCTACACTATCGGCCCATTCTTCACTTGGTATGCTGGGATCGGGCTTAAACTCTTCTAATTTTTCTGCTCGAATTTTCTCTACTATGTGATCTAACCTATTGGTGAATCTTGTAAGTAAGCGCTTATGGGTTAACAATTGCGCTGTCATGAAAAAGGAAGAGAAAGAATAGAAATCTAGTCCGTTATTGAAGTGTCCGTTTCTTGAGAAGAGAGGAGGAACAAAGAATAAATAAAGCCGTTAGCCAAAATGAATGCGGTTAATAGACTTCAATATTGAGAATAAAAATTCGCAGTGTAATTTTTGACTACCGTAGCAAAAAACAGCGAACCGACCTGAGTCCTTTATTGTCCGATGCACCAAAATTTGTGGTTGTCCCCGTAGCGTAAGTTCTGTCTTACCGTGCTCGCCTGTCTGTGTGCCACGCGGGTTCTAAACTAGACGGTTCAGACAAAAGTGCCACTAATCTTTATTATGTAAAGATCTACAGCGAACACCACAATCTTCCACGTACTCATCCTTTATTGGGGCAATACCAGATTGACAAGTCTTCCGTTGCTGACAATCGAAGTAGGGGTCCAATCTTGAGACGAGGGACGATGACGAGGAATCCTTAGCTTGGGCGATTGCCGTGCCAGAGGAGGGCAGGAAGGAAGGAAGGGGCCTCCACCCTCGGTCGTGGCTCTTTTATACAGTAACAAACGTCAGCGTCATAGGCTGGAAATGTAACCATATCCTGCAAGCATTCAAGATCAGCCTTGGTAGATAAAGAAATAGAGAAAGTGATATTGATGGTTGCGAAAAGCAGAAAATAAATCAAGTAAATAAACTTCTAACCATTTAGTGGCGTTAGCCACACGCTGTCACTCGTTCACAGTCTGTTGCTTGATGTAAGGGTCCATGCAAGGACCACAAAGTGAGGTTCATTCTTGCCAAACGCTGTTGGGAATGCCAAAAAATAAAAACAAATTGCTCAGAATGGACAAATTATCAATCATCTTATTCAACTCTATTTTAGCTGCGAAGTAAGTTACATATAGTTTATGAGGTGTTACTCAACTAGGCATGAAAAACAACGTAGAATAAGGTCAAACTTCAGGTGCCTTTGTTGGCATACACTGAGGTACACTGCAGTTCTTTTATTGGTTTATGCAACATCCCTTGTCGCTTGCAGTGGCCATTTGGCGCCACGCTAGCCCCCGATTACCTCAACACCATAAGACTGCTAGAATCGAGATCAGGGCCATTAATTACCCTTGTATACGAGGTTTCAACAAAAAAATTTTTCGATTTTTCTGGTGGTAATGGGCCTGACCATTTGGATGGCAGTGGCACGCGAACCCTTCGTAAAGTATCTCGCATACGAACCGCCAGAAATTTTTACATTTTTCGCGCTGTCAACTTCAGGAGGTCTTCGAGAGAACACCCTGTTAGCTCAGGAGTCACTAAACTAGCATCGTGAATCCTTCTCCACCTTTACCGTCTACGCTTTCGAAAAGAACTCGTTACCTGCCTACCCGGAAAAAAAGTTTGTGTCTCTCACATTAGAAGTGTAAATGGTGTGCACTGTATGCGCGTCACTTCGTTTTCAAATTTTCCAGTTGATAATTAGGCGTCTGCATACTAGCAAATGAAAGGTTCCCCATTAACGGTGTTGGATAACGACTTGTGGGAGGAGGGGTGGGAGAATGATAGCCTCTAGTTGGAGCATGGCCATCATAACATAAGAAGCTCGAAGAATTTTTTTTTTCAGGCTTCTCACTACAACTCTATACATAAGGGGGTTCTGCGGCGCGGAGGACATCTGGGGCCGGTATGGCACTAAATTGGCCCCGCGCGCAGGCTGACAATGAGTTAGTATGAGAAAGCCTTTGCACCAAGTTGTCGCATATCGCGTCATATTCGAAAATGAGTGTCATTGTCGTGATCAGGGCATCGGATAACCCAAGCTTCAGGGAGAGTTTCTTTTGATAGTATTTCGCCGAGCGTAATAGTTGAGACCCTGTTGTGAATCATTACCTCATAGAATTGGCCGGCGTATATCCTAATCATAACATATCATGGGGCACACAGGAATACGAGAATGAAGAAACCTGAAAAATGGAAAATTTTGTCACCCAAGGGAACCCGATCCACAAAAAAAAGGAACCCATCGATTGCGAGTCCATCGCGCTATCCACCGCACTACCGGCCACTGCGATCGCATGTGATCGTAGGAATTAGTGAAGAGACATGCGCAGATGATCAGGAAAACTCTAATGTAGCTCACCACACGCTAAGTTGAAGTGCTTGGATTTTGACCCTATTTTGGTTCTTCATGCCTTCTCAAAGAATATCTCACTTATTATACACTGTCAACGCGAACAGCCAGAACGGAGGCGAATAAGGTGGCTTAAATAGCCCATTCTTTTCGAATTTTCGACCTTTTTTTCGGTCGATTGCCGTCTGAGGGAAATGCACCCCTCTCTGTGGTCCCTCCATGCACCCTTACAAACGCTTTCTAAAAAGCTCACTACGACCTGAACGACATCCCTAGTAAGCAGTGGGTGGGGCGTGGCTTAAAACGCCTATCATTTCGAGCGTTTTCAAGCAGCGGAAGTGGTACAAAACTCGGCGCTTGCCCAATTGAACAATCTTGTAAAGGGAGGACTCTGCAAATCAACTGATCGCGCAGTGAGTAGTTTTCATCATCCCAATCAGTCGGGCGACGCGTGAACAGCGGCTGATGACCTCGCTTCCGCCTTTGCTGTACCAATGGTGATCGGCAGTGAACGATTTCGGAAGAAAAGCAGTGGTGGAAAGGCGCAGGTGAGGACCGCTTATTACGACGCGCTTTGAGAGTACACTCGGTTTTTCTTCGATCAAAAGTATGCGAACTTTTAGGAAGGAAAACCTTGAACATTTATAAGCTACTTTTCGTGGAATACCAATGTATATGTATGTTGTGGGTAGTGGCTATTTATGCTCAATAGGAAACCAGAGAACTAATGAAAAGTCCAATTGAAACAAACCCACAACAAGCTTCTTCGGAACTTGTGTACCATCCTAATGTTCCTACCATGCAGGGGGGGGGGCAAAAAAAAGTCACTTCGAGCGAGTCACATATCAGCAAAGTTTTCGCTGCCCAGACAGAGACGTGGATACCAGTATCAGGGCGGAAGATACCCAAGATGTTCCTCTATAAGCAGGAGTTGGCTCTCGCCCATCAATTTCATGTACACCAAAATATGAAGTCGCAGCCTGACTGGAGAAGACCTTTTTAATTCATGTCTCCTCCAAATAGCTGCAAAACTTCTAGTATGGAGTCACCCATAGATAGCTACCTGGAGATCAGTACTTTCGATCTGAAAGACGTCCAATATCGAACAGCCTCGACAAACGTCGCTACGGTCTAGGACATTATCTCACCACAGTGGCCAAGGCACGGTTTGATGCTATGGACCGGAGGTACCTGCAATGGGAGACCAATATTTTCTTCGTGGACCCCGGACTGAAGGTAAGCGCTGGCGGTCCCATTGGGCAACTCGTGAAGAATATCCTTCTCACATGTGGTCGTCCGTACCTTCTTGGAAACTTTGTACTGCTACAGCATTGAGTGCCACCACACGAAATCGAGGGGCGTGAAGAAACATCGCCTACTTGGAATGGAAAGTGGCTGAATACCTGAAGATGATTTAAAGAAGAAGATTTAATTTGAAGATTAGATTGAGAATGAAGAAAGATGTAAAGAAGATTTAAAGAGAAGGAAGATTAGATAGAGAATAAAGAAAGATTCAAAGAAGATTTAATATCCAAGTAGGTCATAGGTCACCTGACCTGAATCCTCTCAATTACCCGGTTCAGACGGAGTTCAGTAGGGTGGTCTACGGTGACAGAGAAATCGACTATCTCGCTGATCTCAGGCACCACATCGCGGTTGCGTGCCAGAATCTCTCGATGGCGCTCGTCCAGAAGGCTGTGGCGGAGGTAAAATGTCCGATCAGAATTTAATAAAATTGTAACTTACAGCGCCTCGAAAGTCAATGAACAAAAGTGATTTTTTTGCGCCCCCCCCGTATATAATCGGTTATGTCCGTGCGTGCGGGTCTTCGGTTGAGAAGCGCGAGGCATACGTAGTGGGCGGAGCGTGGCGCGAGGTGGACGGAGCCAAATTGGAAAAGAATTCTAAAACGATTTTAGAACATTCCAGACACCGGGAAAAAAGTAGGTTCACAAGTGTGAGGCAAATCCGCTGTGCGGAGCGCGCGGCGAGATGGGCAGGGGCAATTTTAAAAATTCTTGAAACTGTTCCTGAATGCTCCAGACACCGGGAAAAAGCAGGTCATCGAGGGGTCACCGATTCACAGTTGTGAGGCATACCCGTTGTGGGTGGAACGTGCGTCGAGGTGGGCATGGCCAGCCCTAACTTTTCCCTCAAACGGTTCTAGAGCCCTCCAGGCCTCTTCCGTGATACGGCCCGCGTTGCGGGGCGTAGCCCATCGCGCCTGCCTGCATTCGTATGATCAAATGCTCAACTAATACCGGCTTTTCTCTCATCTGTCCACTTGATCAACGTTCCTTTCTACCATTCCACCATAATAGTACACCATAATAGTATTACGGCATCCAACCAGCGTCTGGAACGTCTGCTGTTATCATACATGGTCCACTTTTCATCACAGATGACAACAAGATCCAAAAACCGGGTCGTTTCTGTTGGCAAATGCAGTAAATAAGGAACCTCGAAGCGTGCCAATTTCTGCCGGTCACTCAAATTGTGGGGCACTCAATTGTCGAGTTTCTCTACCTTCCCAATGTGTTTCAGACCATCCGCCAACAGTGGGATTTGCCAACGCCTAGCTTTTCTGCAATCTCTCGAACTGTTTGGGATGGGTCAGCCTCCACAAATGCCTTCAAATCCCCGTCAGGTATTGCTTTAGGTCGACCGCTACGAGGTTCGTCTTCAAGGCTGAAATCCAAGGCACATCGTTGTTGGGGATTTCCTATGGTGGGGGGGGGTCGTATTTGGCCGCCAAAAGGGGGTCGTATTTGGGCTGGGGAAAAATTTATTTTTATTATTGATTTTTCTCGCTTTGCGGACGTTTTGGGGGGGTCGTATTTGTCGTTGTTGGGAGGGGGGTCGTATTTCTGGCTAGGAGTTACTTTTCTGTGTTATAGGTGTAATGTACGCCCGTAGGATGTACGTCGCATGCCTACTACATACTCTTCCCCCCCCCCCCGCTCGACAACTTTTTTCGCCGAGTATAAACCACAACCACAGTCAGCCATCGTACGAGCATGGGGGGGGGGTCGTACCAGCATCTGAAAAAAAGGGGGGTCGTAAAAACTCGACCAAAATCCCTATCGAATGCTGTTCCCTGCTGAAATCTCCAGAACGAAATTTTGTCGAACCATTGTTGCACGGTGCTTCTCCAACACTATTGGGCCCCCACACCTGGTGAATTTCTCGAGCTGTCTCGACTGCGGATTGACCCAACTTGTAGTTGAAGAAAAATATAGTCCGAAGTTGCTCTTTTGGCATGCTTCAAAAGCTCTTGGATAAAGGGGGTTTTTCAAGCAATGGTGAAACGGCAATTATACCTTCAGATAGCGCAAAAATTCTCTTCAGGATGTGCTACTGACAAGGAATGGTTTGAACTTCCACGGAACTTTGAATGGAGACTTAGGTTCATCATAGAGCCTCGACATGCTGATTACGAATATGCAGATTAAAATTGCTACGGGGACCTCCCAGACGAGATCTGGGGGAGGTCAAAGTTTGAGTTCCGGCTCGTAAGCGCTGCTGATCGATACCTCGGCGGCCACCGTGGCGTCGTGGTGATGGTCTCGCTTTCAAATCGAACGCATGAGGGTTTGCATCCGGTTGGTGCGATAGTTTTTGCTTCGCTCCATATAACAGCTTCAACTCTAATTATCGAAATTCTTCCGAATTCACGGCCCAGCAGGGCAAGTAGATCAGTACATCAAGTATACGGCTACTCGATCTAGTATGGATTTGGTAATATCTGCCCTCTCTGAACATATTACCCATCCGACAAGTCAAAGTTTTCCCAGCGTTTTTTCGTTGAAGGAAGTGATATTCGTGTTCAGGGGATCGAAATCTCCCATGAACGAATTTCCGCTAAAACTTTGAGTTGTCGAATGGATAATATGGAGCGAAGATATGACCAAATCCATACTAGATCGAGTATGTCGTATACTTGATGTACTTGATCTACTTGCCCTGCTGGGCCGTAAATTCGGAAGAATTTCGATAATTAGAGTTGAAGCTCTTATACGGAGCGAAGCAAAAACTTTCGCGCCAACCGGATGCAAACCCTCATGCGTTTGACTTGAAAGCGAGACCATCACCACGACGCCACGGTGGCTGCCGAGGTATCGATCAGCAGCGCTTACGAGCCCGAACCCCAACTTTGACCACCCAGATCTCGTCTTTGAAGTCCCCGTAGCACTTTTAATCTGCATATTCATAATCAGCATTCGAGGCTCTATCGATGTAGCTAGGTCTCCATTCAAAGTTCCATGGGAAGTTCAAAACATTCCCTTGTGAGACGCAAGGGAGAATGGGTTTTTAACCAGCAATGAATGTACAAAAAATAGTAACACAAAACGCTGAGAACTTTCCGGACAACCTAATACAATGTACCACATCAGGAGGTCGGATATGCTTATTCTTATGCTTATGCTTTGAGAGTGGTTATGCTTCCTTTCGCTTTTTCCTCCACTGACCATTATTTTTACATATCAGCACCCATGTTTTGCCTATAACGCTTTCTGAAACCTTTGTGCAGAGGGTAATCTGTATGAGCTAAGGAAAATATTTCTATGTAGAGATACTTCTACTATTGAGCAAACTACTTAATAATATGTGTTTCTGTAGCTTGCAAAGTGTGGTTAAGAAAAGTCTTACCATAATTACAATGATTAAAATGGAATCATTGGAGGGAGTCTCTTCACTGACCAGCAAGAAAACAATTGAATAGGCGATCACCGCATGTGTCTACAATTTATATTAGCACAATCAGTCGGGTCGCAATCATTCGCCTGCACCGTTCCCACCACTGGCTGTTTTCTCCTGAGTCTTCTATGAGTTCAAATGGCGAACGTGTTAGGCACGGCGAATAATTTGGTCCTACGTCTAAGCAGAGGTAATATTCGTTTGGTGTGCCGTCATGTGGGGCTCACTAGGATGAAGTTCGGCTTTCGCTGTCATCCTATCCACCAGCATTCCTTTCCACTTCTATCAACAGAAGAGTAAAAAATTTCCTCATGTAGCTCTACTTTCGGCTCTACAAGCAGCTTTTCTCTCCAAAAACTACCCCCTCCCCCTCTCCTAAAGGTTCTTTAATTGTAAAAAGCAGAGGCACTCGGCCACAACCATTCGGCGCGTCTCGTTAGAGTGGCGCAACTCATATAGTTTCCATCAAGAAAATGTTCTCCGTAACCGAGTTCGCCGATCTGGTGTTTGATAGCCACTAGTCTAGTCTAGTCCACTGGGTACAGTTTTTCATTTCTTCTAACTTACTGATTATTGTCTTGGGCTTCGCCCCCAAAGGCACTGTATCATGGAACAATGTGCTTTCTGAATACGACGCAGTTGTGGAATCCTTCGATTTCTGCAAAGTGTTCGTGCAGGAGCTGCTAGTTTCAAATGGGCTGTAGGTGTGTAGCTCGCACATAGAGGACTTCGGGCTCAGAAAATATGAATACACTATGTAGCGGTCTTCTGAGACATCACACTTCATTGTAATCAAGAACCGATAGATTCAGAAAATAATCGGCATCTTTCTAAAAAGAGTTTGCTCAAATTCACCGTACTCTATGCAGCGTAGGGGTGGTGATGGGGTGGCGGAGGGGAGGCGGGTAAAGATCAATTTACTGTAGTACGGGACAAAAATGAGAAAATGAAGTCTTGGACTAAGTCTCTGGCTGATTTGACCAACATCTCTTACCAGGAAAGGTCAACAGGTCAGCCCGGCCATTTCCAATGAGCTTCACACCATTGTACGCGTCTTGGGAAGGTGAACACAGAACTGTCTTCAAAATTTGCAGAACGATTCTCTGAACGGAGTTATGAAGGGTTCCCCGCATGGTCGTTCCACGTGCTGTCGCGAGGAAAGGTTGAAGCGTATTTACATTTACGTACGGAATCGTTCTGAAACGTGGCAGGAGAGCGCAACGGATAGGGAGCGGGTTTCTTAGGCGGGACGTCGTAGGATCGGTTCTGGGGCAGGTTCCTTTTTTGCATTTGTCCAAGAACATCCAAGAACATAGCCGGCAAAACTTCTAACATCTCTGCTCGCCTGCACTACCCTACAAGGGGACCTGCAATCAGTTTTTTTCGAAAGTGTAGACCCATTGTGGCCTGAAAGAGTGCTTCTGGTTGTACCCCTCGTAACACGTTTCACGAGGGTTTTTGTAATGAAATATCATCTTATTCATGTTCAGCGGGTCCAATTACCCCTGGGGACAAGTTTCTGAACGAATCTGATTTTTCGACCTCATTCGGAAAGTGTGGGCTATTCCATGGGTAATAAGCGGCGAATTGGAGCTCACTTTCCATCGATGACTGGTCTCGGAATAGGATTTCCTCCCGATAGTCAAGAAAATGGTGCAGACGGCACGAATAAGTAAGCCAGCTACTGCTGTTTGCGAAAACACATGACTGAAGAGTTATTTCAGTTCGAAGACCAGTCATCACCAGTATGCTAATCATAGTATAGCTGTTGGCTATCAGTTAGCCATGACTATCCATGCCCCACTTTTACGAAGTTGAGTCGGAAGCATTTCGCTAAGGTGAGTCCCTAGGGGTTATTTGACCCCTGAACACGAATATGATACCTATTCTGCGCGAAGAGCGCTGTGAGTCGCGCTACCGGTGCCACGCTTCGGTGCCAGCGCGACCGTAAGAAGAAAAACAGTAAAGAAAAACCTCAATAACTCCGCTCAGAGAATCGTTCTGCAAATTCTGAAGGCAGTTCTGAGTTCAGCGTGTAAAGATGAGTACAGTGGTGTGCATCTCATTGCAAACGGCCAGGCTGACCTGTTGACCTTTCCTGGTTAGCACTCTATTTGGAATAACATTGTAGAGCTAACCTTTACTACCGCATGTTTGAAGATGTTGCAGGAAATAAGTTTGACTACTTTAGAAAGAACGAGTAACGCTTAAAATGGATATTCATCACTCGATTCACTCGCACATTATCGGAAAAGCAGGTCGCGGCATTCAACAAGTGATGCGATCCACCGGCTGCCACATTCATTTCCCAGATTCCAACAAGTACACGTAAGTACTGATCGAGAGGCTGAATTCATGGATCTGCTAGCCCACATACAGAACCTTTCGTTCTGACTGATTAGAAATCTTAACAAAATTTAACAACTATTGAAATTCGTATATGCACAACATATAACTCTGACTAGGGTCAGCCACAATCGTCAAACAACTCGTACGAAGAAGGAATACGAAGCCTGAGAACTCTTCCAAATGTTCTTGTTAATCATCGAGTGCTCGAGCGGGCGCCAGTAACGTCTCCATTCGTCCCTGCAACGCGCTAGAGTTGCGGGTTCTTTCTGCCGAACTGGATGAATATAAAGCAATCATTCATAGCTTGGCGAAGGAGTCTCAGTAGTTCTGACATTCCGTGAAATCCAGTAGGTGGTCACCCTAGCCTAGCAATCTCGTCGCGTGACATGTCTGGGGCCGTCTTCGATCTTCGAAAAGTTGGCAAGTGTAGCTGCTTGTCCGCGAGACCAACCCATTATGTTGGCCGATAAGTGATGGCGTTTTTTTCTCACGCATATTTTGATACGTAAAATTATTATTTTTCCCAATATGCTCTACAATGTTGGATAGATGATTTTCTGCTCTATAAGATGGCATAGTTGCTCCTACGGTTTCTTGATTTGCTGATTTTATTCCATTGAACTGGAAAGTCAGGTTGGCAAAAAGTAGATTTCGAAACGACTTTTTGCACTTTTTATCGCCTCTCGAGTTACAGAAGAAGTTCACAACTTGTAATCTATATGATCAAAGGAAGATGCGCTTATAACAGCTTGAATTCGCTTCAAGCGGTCAAGGGTTGGGTTTTCGGACTTTTGAGAGGCTCCCTTGGAGAGCGACTGCCTTTAGAGCTACCTCTACTTTCGAACATCTTACATCGACTGAGAGCGGTGGTTCATGATGATAAGGAAGCAACCCATGACTTCTAACGATTTCCCATCCTTGGTATGAATCTCAATCATGAATAAGGTTATCTCGTAAGTTCTCAGCTGAACTCAAGCGGAACAAGCAATCAAATGTCTTCGGAACAAAAAAGCACCTGGTCTTGACGAAATCGCACCGAAATTGATAAAAGCAGGCGTAAGACCCATGGAAAACGTGTTGACGAGACTGTTCAACGAGTGTTGGACTCGTAGAGAAGTCCCGGAGGACTGGAGAAAAGGAGTCATCGTCAAATTGCCGAAAATAGGAGACCTGACAGAATGCGGTAATCGGAGGGGAATCTCGCTACTGTCTGTGCCTGGAAAGGTATTTTGTACGGTACTGCTGCTGCGACTACGCGGAGCCATCGAAGAACGACTGAAAGAGGAGCAAGTCGGATTTAGAAGCGGAAGATCTTGTTGCGAACAGATTTTCACTTTGCGCAACATAACCGAATAGTGCATGGTATTCCGTCATTCCCTCATCATAAATTTTGTCGATTCAAAAAAGCATCCGACAGCATACGCGGAGCGAATCGCTTTGGGCCCATCCTCAAGTTATATGGTGTACCTTCGGCTTATATCAGCATCTTCAGGAACCTGTATCTCAACTCTTCGTGCTGTGTTAGAGCGAATGTCGGCTATACACCATTCTTCTGTGTTAGAGCGAATGTCGGCTATACACCATTCTTTGGAATTGCTACTGGAGTGCGAGAGGGATGCATTCTGTCTCCGATTCTGTTCAATGTATGTCTCGACTTTGTTATGAGAAGAGCGATGGGAAACGCAGAAGCGGGCATCAATTGGCCTGTCCAGGGCCGTCTCACAGATATGGACTTTGCCGACGACATTGCGTTGATTGCTGAGGATAATGATAAACTTCAAGACAGCACCACGAGACCCAGCAAGGAAGCAAGCATGGTTGGCTTCCCAATAAGTGCCGATAAGTCGAAGGTCGTGCATGTAGAAATGAATGGGCAGGTGGATGTGAACGTGACAATGCGTTGCTAGAGAATGTCGACACGTTCACTAACCTCGGTAGCGTGGTCACGCACACTGGAGATGTTGAAGCGGATGTCCGGGTTCTACTTGCAAAAGCTGCTGCTGTGTTCAGGCGACTGCTGCCGATGTGGAAAATGCCCTCAATATCGCGTAGCATTAAAATGAAACTTTATCGTCCATCGTTACTCCCACAGCACTCTACGCAAGCGAAACATGGAAAGTGTCTGCCGAAGCTCGCCTAGAAATGAGCGCCTTCCACAAGCGATGCCTTCGACGAATCATGAAGATGCGATACATGGACCGGGTCACGAATGAAGAAGTTCTACGACGATGCTGTATGAGCAGCCTTCACGTGATTGGGCACGGCGTAGGCTTCGACTGGCTGGCCACATATTGCGAATGCCAGAACATCGAATCCTAAGAGTGGCCATGTTCTGGATTCCTCTGGGAGCCAAGCGAGCACGAGGACGTCCCAGAAACACGCGGAGACGTACTTTCAAAGATTTGCGGATCATGAATGATTCTAGGAGCTAGGCCGAGGAAATCGCGCAAGACCGACAACAGTGGAAGGAATTGTCGCCAGATGTGCTCAACAGCACGGGAGGACTAAGTCTAAGTAAGTCAGTTGAACTCAATAAGGCACTAGGTCCGATGCTTCTCTGTGAGGCCGATATTAAAATCTTCGAATCACCTGAACTATTGTGAGCATTTCTAAGAGATAGAGAGCTTTGCCACATACTAAGCGATTGAGCCTGTGCGGTTTTAGCTTTTCAGTGTAGAGGCAAAAAAGAGTCGAAAATGCTCGATTCCGTCGATGACACTCCAGTTCGAGCCCTTAAATATTAATGACAAGGAAGACTCCAAGAGAACTATCGTGTTGGGCAAGGAATTCTCTACAAAACAGTATGAAACTCAATGGCAAAAGTTCTCATCTCTAGCGCGATAATTTGAGTGGGGAAAAAACGTACATTACTAATGGGCCGACCCAATAGTTCTGTGATATCCTGAGAAACCAAAGCAGATGGAGTAGACCTTGGAAGATTAAGTTTTTTTTGCATGAGGAGGAAGGTTACTCTCAGACAGGCGGGAAAATAGTTACTGGGAAACCTATAGAGATTTGGAATAATAATCCAAGTCCATCACTCAAAATGGTACGAACAGCAAGTATGGTTAGCGCACACTGTCGCATCACAAGGCGATTCCAATGAAGCAAAACTTCGGCGGAACATCTTTCGCAAACCGCTGCTTCTCTTCATTCTGCTGGGGTATTGCCTTCCTCTCCGACTTCCTAATTTCATATCATGGTCGTGAGCGGAGCATCGGATATTGCCGTACTATTTGTCGCTATCAGGTCTTTATTAGTTGTTATCAGTGATGATGTCCCCGTCCCTCACATCACACTTCACCCAGTACCACTTTCCGGACACAACGTTCCACGGATACAGGGACGGGCGTCATAGAGATTGTGCATTAGAGAGATGCATATGTACCCACAGACATAGTTAAGGTATTGTGAGAGGTCTTGAGGAAAACTCATGAGAGGTATTATTATCATTCTTATGTATTATGCAGCCCAGCTATCACTGGGCGTTCCTTTTTCTTGAGTGTCATCCTAACTTCACCATGCCCCATTTTCTGGACGACTTAGAATGTGAAAATTGTGCCAAATTACCATAGGGCGATTCTCAACGGAAAGGGATGGAAAGTTGTGAGCAGCGTTAAATCGTCATTTGTTACACTATTCGCTCTCGCTAGTTCCTGATTTTTAGCCGTGATCTCTCCAAGAAGACTGCCCCATCAGGGCACATCGTTGTTGGGGGATCCCCAACGGGGGGGGGGTCGTATTTGTGCTGGGAAAATTTTTTTTATAGTTGATTTCCCTCGCTTCGCGGACGCTGCAAAAGGAGGGGGGAGGTCGTAGATTGTTGGGAGGGGGGGTCGTAGTTACATTTTGTGGGAGCTGCGGTTGACTTTTCATGATTTTCGTGTTTCATGCGTACTATATACCCCCCCCCCTGCCTCCCTCCCCAGCTCGACCGCTCGACGGCTCGATTCCATGAGGAGGGACAGAGGGCAGAGGGGGGGGGGGTCGTACCAATCCCCAAAAAGGAGGGGGTCGTACAGACTCGACTAAAATCCCCAACCAATGATGTGCCCTGTACACCACTCGAATGTGATCGTTGTAGTGCATAATATGTGGAACCTGAAGCTCACCATCGACAGCATATCATCTCGCCCTCTAGCTCTTTTTCAGACTGATTGCGAACCTCTCTCAACGCATTATACTTGTTTGAAACAGCGCAAGGGTGTAGTTGGCTGTCATAGAATTTGTTGATTTCTACCCTTTCAGGCGCACAATGTATCCTCTCCCTCCTCCTCGTTCGGAATTTAGCATTGGGTATAAAAGGGGCCAACACAGCAGTCGACTTCGATTCTCTTAAAGGGGTAAGGCACGATAATTTGGTACTCGATTGATTGCAGTGGTGCTAATAGGTTGTCCGGAAAATTCTGCAGGTTTTGTGTTACTATTATTTGAACATTCATTGGTGATTAAAAACACACTCTCCCTTGCTTCTCAGTAGTACATCCTGTAGAGAATTCTTTGTGCCATCTGATGGTATAATTGCCGTTTCACCATTGCTTGATAAACCCATCAAGATTTTTTCAAGCATGTGAAAAGAGCACTTCGAATGATTTTTTTTCGACGATAAATTGGGGCAATCCGCAATCGAAACAGCTCAACAAATTAACCAGGTGTGGGGGCCCAATAGTGCTGGAGAAAGCACTGTGCGGCAATGGTTCAACAAATTTCCTTCTGGAGATTTCAGCCTGAAAGCAATATCTGACGAGGATTTTGAGGGGATTCTGGAGGCTGACCCATCCCAAACAGTTCGCGAGATTGCAGAAAACCTAGGCGTTGGCAAATTCAGTTGCAGATGGTCTGAAACGCATTGGCAAGGTGAAAAAACTAGATAAGTGGGTGCCCTTCAATTTGAGTGACCGGCAGAAATTGGCACGTCTCGCGGTTTCTCTTCACTGCTTTTGCGCAACAGAAACGACCCGTTTTTGAACCGAATTGTCATCTGTGATGAAAAATGGGTTATGTATGATAACAGGAGACGTTCCGGACAGTGGTTGGATTTCGACGAATCACAGGGGTAATTTTTGAAGCCGAACCCTCACGAAAAAAAGATTCTGGTCACGGCTTGGTGTTCATCGGCTAATGTGACCCGCTATAACTTTTATCACCAGGATAAACCATCACAGCAGAACCCTAGTGTGAAGGAATCGACGAAATGTACCGAAAATTTTGTCAGCTGCAGCCAACACTTATCAAAAGAAAGGGTCCGATTCTTTTGCATGACAACGCCCGCCCTCATGTTTCACAAATCAATATCCATAAATTGAACGAATTGGGGGTTGAAGTTCTACCACACCCACCATATTCTCCAGACCTTTCACCAACCGACTATCACCTCTTCAAACATTTTCAGAACATACTTGCTGAAAGATACTTCATCAATTAGGACCAGGCAAAAAAGAACCTTCGTAGATTTCGTGAATTCTCGACCACCCAGTTTTTTCTTTGATGAGATTTCTTGACTGCTCTCACATTGGCAAAAGTGTGCTGATTTGAATGGTGCTTCTTTGGATCAAATCCGATGAGTGTTAGAAAAGTTATAATCGTTTAAAGTTAAACACTCAAAACCTGCAGAGCTTTCCAGACAACCTAATATATAGTGGAGAAATGGCGGAAAAGCGGAGTCAAGTACTTTCAAAAAAGCCTCTATTCCTGCCGACTTACTGTTGGAAAGCGATTCCGGACGTATGTACTCATACATTCATGCGGTACCGTAACCGTTTCATAGCAATCCCTTCGTTTCGTATTGTACTCCGCAAATGGAACGATACGAGCATCAGCAGGTGACATTTGTGAGCGTGCGGATGGGGTGGGCATCTGTATCGTATGGTGCACCTTGATGAAGCGCTATAAGGGTACCTTCCTTGGGAAAGGGGCCACGCAGCGCCTGCTCGAAGGCACCGATTTCTGTCCTGCTGGGCGTATTAATCCTACACGTCTTGGGAATTTATCGTGCCTTTGCCTCTAATATCTGAGTGGATAAGGGAATGAGGTAAAAGAGTCAACACTGAACGCTGTGCTGCTTGTAATACTTATGCTGCAGAGGCAGCAGTATAGACCTAAGAAATTTAAGAGATAGCCTCTTATCAACTGATATATTATTGTCGTCAAAGTCCCCACTTCTGGGCAGTGTGAAACCAATATCACCTTTAGGAGCGCGATGGCGGCAACGCTATTCATAGGTCCCTATAAGTTCGCGACCCTCCCGTTACCCACCGATAGTGTCCCCGTGCCACATCGTACATCACCTGTTGGAATTGACATCTTGCAGCTGTTGCGAACCACGCTACAAATTCGGCGACTCTTCTCTTTTGCAGCATATTATCGTCTCCTCCGATGTACTAATGTTTCTGTCACCCACCGATGGCGCTCCCGTCCCACTCAGTACAGAACAAAAGAATTAGTGTGTGTGTGTAACATTCCAGTTGCGCTTACATCTCTTTGAACAAAACTTCGTTGAAGTCAAACTGTACTCATCTCTGAGGACGGTTCTTACTATGCGCAAGTCGAATGTATCTGCAGGAGCGTGCCACTTTCTCTGGTCAAAAGTGTAAGGAAATGGAGTCGAAGGGCAGTGATACTCGGGTGCCATCTCCATAATCCGCCGCGCAGCCATACGGAAAGCTCAGGGGCAGGTCGTGTCCGTAAGACCCTCCTCCCTTTTTTGAGGGGGTTGGTACGAGTAAGTGGCTCACTGTTGCACCCATTCACCTTGCTCATAGCGGGAACCGTCATAGGAGGTGGGTGCACAGTTCAACTACAAACACCGTTAGATTATTCGTCACATCGTTTAGTTGAGTTTTTTTTATTACTATTATCAACACGCTTTTGTGAAAAATAAGTTCGGCTCTTCCTCTCGCGTGGGAGTCTTTGGGCTTTGTTCAGATTTCGCGACGGGCGCTTTAGTCGCGCGTTCGAGCGATCGATCGCGCTAGCGCACGGATGCGTCGATCGCGCGAGCGTACGATTGCGTCGCTCGCTCTAGGATTCGACTGTGCAGCGCGACTGATCAGATCGCGTCCAATGTTAAAATCGGCTGGACCGCTGCGAACTTAGAGCCGTATTTGCTGACTTCTTACTTCTTTTTCCTCTTCTTAGCTCCCTTTCATCTTTTTTTCATCTTCCTTTCAGTATTTTCAATCCGTTTCTAAGGCTTTATAGCTTGTCATACTTTTTTGTAACAAAATATGTTTGAATTTTTCAGATGGATGGCCGTGTTGAGTGTAACTGTGGGAGCTGGAAGCTAAAAAGAGGAGGAAAGAATAAAGGCGTCAGTGTATACGGATGAGAATTAGCATCTGTCCGGTAGTTTCAGCACTAGGGCATGATCTAATTAGTCGCGCTACACAGTCGTACGCTCTAGCGATCGAGCAATCGTACGCTAGCGCGATCGATCGCTCGAACGCGCGACCGATGCGCCGTCGTCGCGCAGTCTGAACGCTGCCCTAGATGTAGTAGCGGTGAAGTCGGTTTATGCCGCTGCAGCATCGTGTTCTTTCTGGAACACTTCTTCCTGAAGGAGCTGTCAAGTTTAAAAGAGGAAGTAATCGATGGATCGTAAGCGATGTGACTATGATGAATGCGAGAGAATTCTCTAGCCCAGCTCCTTCAATTTTTTAAGATGGGTTGGGCGATGGAGCACAAGAGTTGTCGTGAAATAAAAGCTCCCTTCCTGTTTACCAGTGTCAGATAAGCTGGAGTTTGCGTTGCAGTCGCATTTTACGTTCATCTTTTTTGTTCGATAACGTGTACTTCTTGCTTTTTTTACAGTGATTCTACGAACAAAAGCGATCAGGTTTCAATATCAGGCCCTCCGTTGAGCGTTGAAGCGGCTCGCAAGCTTTTGAGGGTGAGTTCTCAGAATGTTTCTGTATCCTAGCTTCTCCTCCTTGATTTGAACTAGAATTACCATGAAATCATCCTACATTCATTTTCTCCAAATAAACCAACAAGCAGCAAATAGGTGGTATGAAATGATTACCATACAAAGCAATGCGATAAATTGCGATTTTTTAGGCAGTTTCACCCATCGTCCTCACTTTCGATTTACCTTGGATTCAACGAAAAGAACCAGAAATCCGGGAGATTCCTCAGGAGGTAACGTAGAAAATTAGACCGATTTAAAAATAAGACATCAAACTTTGCTGAAAATTAGATCAAGGATCCCTACTCCTTACTTGGGATCACTTGCGACGTTTGTTTCTGTGTTAGAAGACACGGTTTTACATCAAGAGCCATTTGAAGATATCAAGTTGGGGCTGAAATACGCTCTTTATCTCTGAGACGGAGTAGGCGTAGCATTTGCTCATGGCATAAGATAGGTTGCTGGGATATTTCAAACTGGGACACTGTCCAGTGACGGGCACAAACATAACCTCAATTGCCTAGCTCACTCTCAGTCATTACTGGCAGCCCCTTCTTTGGTGAGCGAGATTTCCGCTCCCTGACTGGTTGCTATTGGCCGTGTTCCTCCTTTATCTACACTGCGAAGCATAACCATAGTTCCACCCATGAATCTCACAAAATCCCGTCTCAAACGACGTTTTCGAAAATGCCCCCCTACAAAAAAATGTAGTAATTACCAATACCAAGTCGCATGCCGACACCAAGCTCTCAAGCTCTAGCTTGGAAAAACAATTTTTTTTCGTCAAATCTTTCAAAAATGGTCGTTCTGACAATGCAGCAAAAGTATAGTTCCATCGCATATTTTCCCGTGCATCTCATTTTTTTAGGTAAAACTTCTCATCATTATGAGTCCTTGTCTATTCTTAGTTATGGCGAGTGGGAGTTCATTAATGGACCTCGAAAAGGGACAGATTATCACAAAGAAGTCTCAAAAACTGTTGAATCGTGGAATGGCGCGGGTTTCGGGCTGCACTCATCATGCTGTCAACAATTTTTCCAAGGAAACTACAGGATATTGAGTTGAGAAGAGTTCTAGACATACTCCTTTGCTGACAGATCGGAATAAGCGCCGTATCCTGAGGAAAGCATCCAACTCTGCAGTGTCGTGTCGGGAAATTAAGTCATTTCAGAGAATAGTGTCTGTCTCGGAGGATACTGTTAGGCTTTTCTTGAAAAACTCCTGAGTTCACCCACAGGAGGAATATGAGTTGGGCACTGTTTCTACCAAAAAACCATCGCGAAAACCTAATTGGCTCCGCCCGAAGAGGTGGCCGAACCGATTGGAGTGAGGATAGCTTTTTGCTGCGGTGCCCTACTGCCTGTATTGCTTTTTTGAGTTTTTTTTTCTCGCGGTCGTGTTTTCTGATAAGAAAACCATTCAACTGGGACGGCTCAGACGAAAACCGATTCCACTGGCACCACCTGAGGAAAGACCAGTTTCATTTTTCCAGGCGGAAGTTCAGTGGATGTGGTCTCATTGTCTGGCCTGCCATCGCATCAATGGAACTCCGAAACTGTGCTCCGTATGAAAAAAAAGTTCTCCGTCATCAAAAGTCATGCGACGACGTCTCCTTGCTTTCTGGCGTAGGAATCAGCAAGAAAGTCCTGCTTTCATGCAGGATTATGCGTCAGTCCATAACGGTCGAAGCACTCGAGCGTGATCCAGTTGTCACCAAACCGCTCTTTTGCCCTGGCCAGTGAGTAGCCCTGACCAAACCTAATCGAGGAGGTTTCATGGTGCGTATGATCTATGAGGAGTATTGCACAATTCCACAACGTTCGTGAGCCTAGAGAGTTAATCATTGGGGCAGTCGGCCGAAACCTAGTGGAAACTCTAATCGAACATGGGCAATCGTATTTTCCAACTTAATTGGAGAAATAGAGTTACACTAGATTACTGAATCAAAATTTATTCATTTGATTGTACACTTGTTGTTGGAATATTCGATTCGTTCGGTGGAACTATACGTTTGCTGCATTGTCAGAACGACCATTTTTGAAGGAATTGACGAAAAAAAATTGCTTTTTCAAGTTAGTGTTTGTTGTTGGCATGCGAACTGGTATCAGTAATTACCAAATTTTTTGTATTGGGGCATTTTGGAGAACTTCCTGTGAGGCAGAATTTTGTGAGATTCATGGGTGAAACTATGATTATGCCTCGCAGTGTATATTGTCTTCAGTTATCTACTGCACCGGCAGTGTTCTGGTCAGTTCAAAGTGATGTCTTCAGTTGACGTGCAGTGGCGGAGTATGTGACAAAATTATTCACTTGACGGGCATGCTGGAGAAGAATAAGCTGTGATGTTTGTGAAGTCAGTCTGTCGTAGTAGATCTTAGCCGCGCGGCTTCCTGAAGTGCTTGATCTTGACGGGCAATTAAACTTTATGGTTTGACTACAGTGAACCGCATGCACCAAGTCAAACTGATTGAACGACACAGTGAGCAGTCTCCCCTATTTATCTCGCAATGGATGAGCAGGTTTGCATGATGATTCGTGAAGGAGTAATGAGAGTCTTGGCTTGGTAAGTGCTGTTTAACGCCACAGTGGCCACAGTTCATCCCGTCCGCGGCCCGACTACTGCTCTTACCTCAGCCTTCATAGAAATGAGATTCACTAAGCGAAGCGAGTACAAGTGTAAACGTAGTGTTGATCCATCATGGAAGACATATGCTCACTCAAGGTAGATTCAAGATTGAAGATGGTTTTCGTCGAATGAACAATTTGCAACCGCGGTCAGATCTTGCGAACTTCACTCATTTAGAACAATCGGGTGTACGACGGAGACTGATAAAGTGAGACCTACTCAGGGAAGGGTCTCACTTTACCAGTCCCCGTCGTACACCCGATTATTTTATAGGTTGCTGTTTCGGTAAACTCCATGCCCCTAGCTCAAATCATTCTAAACAACTACGTTACTCGAACTGGTGCTATCGAACGACCGCGATTGGTGCGGCCAACTACACCTCTCACAAAGCGGTCAAGCATACACTTTCCAAAGGAACTCCGAGCGGTCATGTGTTCTGTTGGCATATTATTATTCCAGTCTTCACGTTGAGTTCTGGATGAGCTCTTGGTTCGTAAAAGCTGGATAGTTTGCGTATGCATGTAGGTTTGAAACATTCACCAAGAGAGGATGGTAGGTTGCTGTGGCCGAGAGAAGTGATACGTACAGCGTGGCGAAAAGGTGCCCGCACCATAAAACGCTACAACTCAGTTCTGTTCATGCGCTTTCAAAGAAAGTTATTCTTATGGGGCTATGAATCAGGGCATTTCACAAAAACAGAATTTTATAGGTTGCTGTCACCATTTTCCATACAAGCCCCAATAGGTTGCTTCATGCAGTCAAAAGTACTGCGGAGGTAGTGAGCGTCTAAATTCACCCATATTTTTAAAGTTTGTTTATTTCACAAAGTCATCAAAATTTGACCGTTGGTCTGTTATGGTTGATGCCTCTTCATCCCCCTTACATTCAAGCCTAGAGGTTTCAGATCCGGGCTGCTAAAAGGTCTTCACTTAAAAAAAGCTATTTCTTAACAAAAGAAAGTGAATTGTTGTTTCGACCATATCGATTAAAGTACAATCCTATCAGTGCATGAAAATAAACTAATATTGTTTCTGAATTGAATAATCCGGCATGAGCAAGTGCTCATGAAGGCCTCAATGCCTAGAAAGGATCAGTTGCTTGTAATTTCTATTCATCCTATGCAACTGATAGGTCTTTGAACACCAACCATGTAACCGTTGGGTTGTCACATTGTAAGCAGCTTTACGCCGCAACCATGTAACCGTTGGGTTGTCATATTGTAAGCAGCTTTACGCCGCAACCATGTAACCGTTGGGTTGTCATATTGTAAGCAGCTTTACGCCGCAAATTTGAAGTGATTACTTGTATGCTTCACCCATAAAAACAAAACTCCTTAACTTCTGGTAAGTCTCTGATTCGTCTACACAACCTTCACCAAAGTGCGGGACCCGGGCGATTCTATCATCGGCAAGTCAGGTCACGCCGTACACGCCGCGACGCGGCAATCCCGGAGTTGCATTGCCGTTGCATTACCGTATTGGAGCAAAGGATTAACATTGTTTCACGGCGTCCTACTAACACAACGGAATGAGTTGCTAGTTCGATTTCAAACTAAATCTCCCTGCATACAGCACATATTATCTCATTTCATCGCTGCGATGTCAATATCGCTACCATTGGGACATTACTGAGACGTTTTCTATGCAGTCTCTACTTGATTTTTGCTGGATGTCAGCATTTACGGTTTTCAATTTACGTCAAAATTTTGGAGTTAATTAACTTTCTCTTTTGGCATATGCGCGAGGGTTTTCATGTGTGTTAGAACTCTCCCAGTTATTTTCAATGCCATCATGTTGCCACCCAGTTTCTTCGCTGACATTCGAAGGGAATACTAACGTGCTCAATTTTTCGCTTCTGGCATGCTTGCGTTCATGTGACTGTTCAACAAAAACCTCGGCTAGACTGCTGGAATCCAGCCCTACGTCGCAATCTTTTCATTTCTCGTTCATAATCCAGTTGTGCTCTAATCTAAATCTCATAATCTACTGAATCTAGCACTATTAGTCTTTAAGATTGTCATTATGTGTTGTATGGTCCTTGGGATATCGCAGTCCCCAAGGCTAACATTCGCCTCTTGGTCTGTTACACCCTTCGGTAATTTTTGGACGGGAGGTCACGCGCAGGTCCATAAACGCCCAGTGAAATGGAGACGGAAAACATTGTTTTGCCATCTGTAAGATGTCATTCAGAAGATGAGGGCAGGGAGTACTATATGCGATGAAGGGTGAATGTTAAACTAAGCTAAATAAAACCTCCCCACCAACCCCTACCCCCCCCCCCCTTAAAACTTTCCCCTATTGACGGTTACCTTCCACCTCCCATCGTATCAACCAGCTATCCTAAACTCTCTCTCTCCATTGTTTTCTAGGAAATGTGACAGCAAGATATATTTCTAAGCGGTCAAATGGCAGGCTCTAAGCACGTGTATGTCGAGTCCCGAAGTGAGCCGTACTTGAGTGGTTTTTCGGGAACGTCTTCCAAATACAAACAGTACGTGCGTGATTAGGCTTCTTTCTCCAGAGAATATTCGCTCAAGCTCGAACCTCGGGAAAGAGATGTGTACAGAGGAAAGGCTGGAAAAAGACGCTCATGGAGAGCAGTGACAGAAGTGACGTG